AAGGACTCTTGTGTTAACTTTCAAATGATTTCAAACCGTTTCAAACCATTTGCAATTGTTTCAAACTGATTTATTGTTGCATTTTATCAGAATATATTTATATATATAAATAAGGTTCAACAGACTTAGAATTGACAATTCCATCCTAAATCATGTTGCTTGTCTGGTTGTGGGTTTAGGATACAATTACTTATTTGACTGTTCAATCTTAATTATATGTGCTGTGAATATATATGAGTATAAAATATATTTCATTTTATTGATAACCCTTTTGTAACATGTAGAGCAAAAAGGTATTTTCTGCAAATCTCTTACTACCGATTTATACACATTGTTAAATTGCAAATGTTTTCAGTTCATTACAGAGCATACATTTAAACTATAATAGGTATAGTTCGTGAATCACTACACTATTTTACTAAGTTCAAGAAACGATACAAGAACATACTTTTAAACTATAATAGGTATAGTTTGAGAAATACTACACTATCTTACAAGCTCAAGAACACTATACAGAGACAAGTATATAAACTATAATAGGTATAGTTTATGGAACACTACACTATTTCACTAATTCAAGGATACACTACTAAAATAATTATCTAAGTATAATTATTTTACCTTACAAAGTACACTACTACAAGGTAATACATACAGTTTCATGTACAAGAGAACACTATAACACTACATGTAAACTAGTTAATACAGGGTTGTGAGGCACTACTTCATTGTACCCATCAGGGTACAGGTTCAAGTCCTATAATTTATAACCAGAGTCTCCTGGAGGGAGAGCGTGAATTTGTGTATAGATCTATACGGGACTGACAATCCCGCACCCGAGCTGCTTGCAACAGCTAGGCCGACAGGCCTGGGGTGACAAATGTCATAACATTCCGACACCTGAAGAATGTCGTAGAGGCCACTAGTCATTTTAGCATGGTTATATGAAACTCACAATAGTATCAACTAAACATAGTTTATGGGATTTACACTACTTCAAGGGTTTTATTTTAAATAATGAAACTATAGTACACTATTTTACACTACAACTGGTGGATTCCAGGCACTGATACAAAGGTTTTCATACAAACACTACTATGATAAACTACTTTTCTAGTACAGAGCACACTAGTACAATATACAACTTAGAGAAACATTTATGATATGTTTTATTTATTAATAAGACTATATTTCATTTACTATAGAAAATATTGGATTTTCTGGAGGAACATACTAACGTTTTTCAAAGAACAATGACAAGCTTTCCATCTCAAGAACATACTTATGAACTCACCAACTTAAATGTTGATACACTTTCAAAATCACTTGTATTCTCAGGGAACCGATAGACATGTACACTACACGTTTTTGAGAAGACGGAGTATTCATGGTGTCTCGTCTATAGTTTTTGCTATACATTTTTGTGACAACCCGAAACTTTTTAAATTTTTACCTTGTAAAGCTCAGCCAGTCAACTCAATTGAGTGTCAGACTCATTTCTACTATCGTTTAGCCTTGTTTGGAATCCGTTTAAAGGTTCAAAGCTCAGTACATTCAAGCCTCGAGTATAGGAATGGATCGCGTACACGTCTAGCATCAAAATCGAGCCTTACACTCCAACTTAAGGAGTGTACGGCCGCACACATGGGTGTGCGGCTGCACACCCCTCTCCTGGCAGCACACTCTCGGGTATATAGGAGGGACTTAGCTTTCATTCATCCCTTTTCACCCTCCTCAATCAAGAACACGATTTCTCTCTCAACTATCATCCGATTTGCAGCCTAGATCTTCGAGTTTGTAAGTGTTCTTCCCTTGATTTGTTGTTAATCCTTTTAAGCTAGTAACATCCTTTGATTTCATCCATTTGAAATCATGTTTTGGCTAGATATTCAAATCTTCATCCATTTCACCAAGAACACCAAGAACACACACTTGTTCTTGGCGATTTTGAGCCTTCTCGAGCCTCCGGATCGTAAGTACTCTTTTCCAATGCTTGAATCTTGTTTAGAACACTTGATTTAGTCTTAGAAATTGCCCAGAACTCAAGAACATATGGTGTGTGCGGCCGCACACACAGGTGTGGTCGTACACCCCTCAAATACCCTCAAAACACCCCTAAAGGCTTCCATATTGTGAGTACCATTCCCTAAGCTTGTTACTTACTAGATATGAGCCTTAGAAAACATCAAAACCATGTTCATCAAGGAGTGTGCGGCCGCACACACTCCATGTGGCCGTACACCCCTTTTTTAGTGCTTAAGGGCCTCCAAAGTGCCTTTCTAGCTTCAGCACTTGATGAGCATTAGTCCTACAAGCCTCCCTACCTTTGGAAAACGTTTTTGTGCACTCTTTACCATGAGTGTGCGGCCGCACACTCCTCAAAGTGGCCGTACACTCCCTTTTAGTGAATCACATGTGAGTCCAACACTTGGTCAAAGTGTTTCCTAGTCCCGTAAGGTGTTTCCTTGCATTTGGTTGCTTCTAAACACTATATTTATGCCAATATATGCCATTATATGTCGTTTAGGACTCTTTAAGTCTCAGGACTTCATTCGTGGAACTTCTCATCCTTACGCGCATATTCGTTTGAATCACCCACATAAGGTGAGTTCATACCCCTATAATGAATCTTTTAACTATTTTAAATGCTTTTAAGGGGGGGAATACAAGTTGAACACAATGATAATTGTGTAAATGTTTGTTATAAACATCTTTCAAAAGATTTCTTATGGCTTTTATAAGTGATCAAAACATTTCAAAAACTCTTTTAAAGTTATGTTACCTTATAGTTTAACAAAACTCCGTTTTTAAAGTACCAGCATAACTTAGTAGAAAAATGAGTCTTTTCAATAACAGTTCAAGTAAAATATTAGTAAACTATAAGGGGTATAGTTTAGGGGTTCAGTTCATACTAGATACTAGAGCATACTATAAAGAGAAACAGGGAGGTAGAAACAATACACGATAACAAAGAGGATATACTAAGATACTATAACATAAAGAGCATACTATGATACTATAACAGAACGAACTTACTAAGATGTTATAGCATGGGACAACTACAGGATCTAATTATACCAATGAATCACTAACTCATTGTTCTAAACAAAAGGTGATAGTTAAATTGGGTATACATTATCGTATAACTTTAATGTGAATTTACATGGCTAGAAATTGTTTGCTGCAGTCGCGTTTGGTCCCCAGAATCTCTTGACAGGGAGAGCGTATAGTATGGGTACTAGCATTCACATTATGACCTTAATAAAACAAACATATTTTAAGGTAATCAGTACTACAGAATGTCAGTTCATAAGACAACTGAGTACTTATATTTTCCAAATACTTTCATATTGTGACAGTTCCACTTGAAAGTTAATACAAACTATTTTCGAGTCAAGATAGTTATAAACTAGGGAAAACTTACATTTTACATCTGACACACAGAACAGTCGAGTCTAGTACATTCAGTAGAAGGGGGCCTATAATGCTAACTTTATGATTCCTTAGTGTATGCATTCAGGGATATATATTAATCAGATCCGACAGGTAGTAGGATGTGTGCTTTCCGCTTCATTTATTGTTCCTTGTTTGGCTGTGGGCTTAGAGCAGATACACCCAGCCTACTATCTATCCGATCTTAGATATATATATATATATATATATATATATATATATATATATATATATATATATATATATATATATATATATATGCTTCCGTATACACTAAGTAATCATAAGGGGTACCAGGTATGGGTCAGGTCATAAGACACTAATTCAATGCACCGTTTTCTAGTACACAAACATACTTTTTAAACAAGAACTTTTGGTATACAAAGCTAGAAACTCACCAGTAAAGGGTTTAATCCATTTTATTAAACCAGTATAACTTAAAGGACCTTAGGTGGTTAATCCTATAATACCTTAGTTTATACATCAGAGTTATATATAATTAATACCCGATAGGTAGTTAGATGTGTGCTTTCCACCTCATTCACTGTTCCTTGTTTGGTTGTGGGCTTAAGGCAGATTCACACAATTAACTATATGTCCGATATTAGATTATATATAACTAGTATAAACTAAGTGATTATAGAAGGAACTATTGTGGTTACCATCTTACTAAAAGAAATAAGGGTTTTCTTAAAGAATCTTTTCGTCAAATATAAAGGAACTATTACAGTTAACTCCGTTAGTACCAAGTGAATATGCCAGGGTTATATACAGCAATGATCTAACAAACAATGGGATGTGTGCCTTCCGCCTCATTTCCTGTTCCTTGTTTGGTTGTGGGCTTAGGGTAGATACACACAATCGATTGTTTGTTTACTCTGAGTTTTATATAACTTGTATACATGTAATACTCATAGAAAGGACTGTTGATTCATTTTTACTTATCTTTCATCAAAGCAGGAAATATAGGATTTTCTGGAGGAACAGGCAAACTTTTCTAAACAGAACTTACTACAACTTACTATAACTTTCTACAACTTTCTTACTACTCACTTACATCACCTAAATCTTATGAACTCACCAGCTTAAATGCTGATCTACGCTTTCAAAATAACTTGTATTCTCAGGAGACCAGTAGACAGGTACGCGCACTGGGATTCAGAAGATGGAGCAGTATAGCTTCATGTCTTTTTGTTATTTGCTATGTATTCTATATTATGTGAATCGCATACTTTGTAAACACTTTATTTCTAATGAAATGGTTGTTTATTACTTGCTTACTATGATGCATGTCTTGTGATACTAAACATGATGTCCTCCACCCCAGAACGTTTCCGTCGTTCCGGTTTTGGGGTGTGACAATTTTTGTCTTATACAAACAATATTACAAACTCAATGTAAACACTATATTATCAATACAATGGTTGTTGTTACCTTGATTACTATTATTCAATTGTTGTGATACTGTACATGACGTCCTTAGCCCCCGAACATTTTCGTCCTTAGCCCCCGAACATTTCCGTCGTTCCGGTTTGGGGGTGTGACAAATGGTTACCCCTAAAGAAGTTATCAAGAGAAGTCTTAATCCTGATGGTGCATCTGTTAGTAGAGATGGTCTGGAAAAGACCTTATATTCCCGCCTATTTGACTGGTAATCTGAGCCTAAGTCGAATCACGAAACATTCTCACAGAAGCTTTATCAAACATTCAAATCTCATCAACGGTTTTTCAAACCAAAACTATGTCGCACTAGTTTCACCATTTCTCATTAGGAAGGAGAGGTAATTTGAATAGATCTTGTACTCTCTTTCTACATTTCAAAGCCTCTTATTTCTAATTATATGTGTTTTCTGTTTGTATTCAGGTTCAATATCAATCTGAGCAATTTCTGGACAAAAACAAAGATTATGTTGTTCCGGAACATCAAGATCTGTTGACTGCTTCCAAGTGCTTTTTTATATCAGGCCTTTTCCCTCCATTGGCCGAGAAGACAACCAAATCATCAAACAAATCTTCTAATTTCTCATCGATTGGTTCTCGCTTCAATGTATGGGTTTTTTTTGTTAAACAAATTCCTTAATGTCATGTTATGTTGGTCATAAGTTGATATGATCTTTTTGTTAATGCATGTAGCTACAACTTCAGCAGTTGATGGAAACTTTGAACTTCACAAAACCCCACTATATCAGATGTGTGAAGCCAAATAATTTTCTTAAGCCTGGCATCTTTGAGAATGTCAACATTATGCAACAATTACGTTGTGGGGTGAGCACTGATGAGATTTGAAATAGATATATTTTAAGCTTTAATAGTAAATTCATTAAACATGTAATAATTTTTCTTTTCTTATTACCAAGGGGGTTCTAGAAGCAATTCGCATCAGCTGTGCTGGCTATTCTACTCGCAAGAGTTTTTCTGATTTTGTTACAAGATTCAACATTCTTGCTCCCGAGGTTAAAAGTGAGAAGTAAGTAAAGACATATTAACACAACACCTCGCTTAAAAACTAATCAATGGTCTCATTATCAATGTGTGTGTAACTTGAGTTAGTTCTTTATAGTTTTGATCTGAAGGTTGCCTGCAAAAAGATCCTGGCCAAATAAGGGATTCAGGGATATCAGGTGTCAAAACTCTGAATGTGAGATTTATGTTTTGTGGTTTAACTTTTTACATTTAGTCAAAATTTCTATCCACCAAGTGAAATGTCAATAATTTTGCAGATAGGGAAAACCAGATGGCTGAATTAGATGCACGGAAAGCACAGAAGCTTAGCAGTACAGCCAAGATTATACAAAGATAGATAAAAACTTACAATATATGTGATGATTGTACAAGATCACAACCAAATCTTGAATTAAATTTGTGGGATTTCAGCAGTAAAAGTACAACAGACGATTGTTTTCTAGGTTTGACCCTGGCAGTCAACCCTAGTGTTTCCAATATCGGTAACAAACTTTACCCTTTTTCTAATATTTATGAATTTCACATCAAGTTTTGGTGAAATAGTATTAAATTTCCATACTTGTTTTTCTTCCTTTTACTCAGAAATGGTCCATAAGACTCGAAGCACAAAACAAGTGAGTTTTTATACTTTCTTATAATGACGAAATGATATGTTGTAAAATTTTTAAAACAAAATCTACTTTTTCTTTTCCTTCTAAATTTTGTCCTTTTTTGATAGGAAGTATTTTCTTGCTTTGAGGAAGTTTGCTATAATCTGCCAGTCATTTTGCAGATTCCTGTGAACAAAGTCAAAACATATTCCTTTCAGCTTTTCATTTTCGGATCAACTCAAGATATAAGGTGGTGTATCTCTTGAAATTGATTTCCTATTTTTGTTTTGTGCAAATGTTTTATTAATAAAAAATGTAACTTTACAGAGTTCTAGCCCTCTATTTACATCCATTGAGTTGGATCATAGTGGCTCAGGACGTGAAGGATGCACAGTCACTACTCTTACAGTAAGTGTTGAACCTAAAAGCTGGCAAAGTGCAATTAAAGTGGCTGCACAAGAGGTTTGTAGTTGTACTTTTCAATAACAACAATAATAATGATAACAATTAAAATTATATTAACATACATGTTTATCTTTTTTTGGATCTTGTTTTCAGGTTCGAAGGCTTAAAGAGTTTGGTGTTACAAAAGGAGAATTAGCACGTTATCTTGATGCACTGTTAAAAGATACTGAATAATTAGCTGCAATGAGAGTGATAACATTTCATCAGTGGATCATTTTGATTTTGTTATGGAAAATGATGCACTTGGACATAAGGTTATGGATCATAAACAAAGTCATGAAAGTTTGATTGTAGTTGGTGGAACAGTCACTCTTGAAGAAGTAATAATGTCAACTTTTCCACGATTATGTTTTTTTAAATGATTAGGAGATCATAAGATTAATTAATTTTGTTGAATTTATGTAGGTGAATTGCATTGGTGCACAAGTGTTGGAGTACATATCAGATTTTGGAAAAGCATCTGCACCTATTCCTGCAGCCATTGTTTCATGTGTCGCGAAGAGAGTGCATGCTGATGGAGTTGGTGAAGTTGATTTCAAGATAACTCCAAATGAGATAACATATGCAATTGGAGAAGGGTTGAAGGAACCCATGTTGATGGGTTCCATTGTTATTGTGCTTCATGCCCCTGTTGAACATGCCATAAGCTCTGTGGAAGAAATTTGGGACTTAGCAACACAACCAAGTGAGTCATGCAATCTCATTACTCATTTCTTGATGTTTGTTTTACTTATATATATATATATATATATATATATATATATATATATATATATATATATATATATATATATATATATATATATATATAGTGTGTGTGTGTGTGAATGGTCAATAGTCAATAATAAGAGATTGTTTTTTCTTGATTCCATTGTGTTTTTGGTTCAACTTTTCTTTTGTATACAACATCAGTAACAGAGAGAGAGAGAGAGAGAGAGAGAGAGAGAGAGAGAGAGAGAGAGAGAGAGAGAGAGAGAGAGAGAGAGAGAGAGAGAGAGAGAGAGAGAGAAAGAGAGAGAGACTGACCGTTTCACCCTTGTTTCCACTGTGATATACGTTGCAGGTAGTTGCTAACATAAGGGGAAGCAGTGTAGAGGAAGTATCCGAGTGAATTCTAAGCCAACCATCACTATCTGGACATGAGGTTTGATTTCGTTCTCCTTATTCTTTCTTTAGTTTTATTTACAAAAAGTGAAATAATAATAGTTAATAAATAGAAATTAAAAGTTAAACACTTTTTACATAATGTGTATACCTGTAAGTCTAGTTTTAAACCAAAACTGACGGGAAGGTAAAAGCTTATTTTTATGCCATTGTCATTTGTGTGCCCAAAAAGCAACTCTACAAATTCGTTCAGTAGCTAAGAGTTGTAATATTTCCTCACAATTTTTTAACTTTTTTTCTTCTATCTGCTTTCATCCATCTGTTCAGTGTTGTATCCTACATCCATCTCTTCCTTTATTTTTCTCAAAATATCTTCAGTTTGTTTGATCAAATAAGTCATTTATGGAGGGTTCTGTTGATGCGTCATTTTAAAAGGGAATGCTGGAACACACAGCTGCAGCTCTTCAGCAAACCGAGTCAACTCATTCTCCTATAGTAATTTCTTTGAGGGTAAAAACTAAAAAGTCATGACCTTCCTTTTTGTTCTTTCTGGAATCATTATTTACTATTTTACCCTTTTGATTGTTCACAGGACACAATCAATTCGGCATCCTCCATGAATCAAACATTAAACGGTGAACTAGCTGATAGTCAAAGGGTATATTCGACATTCTTGCCTTTAATCTGAATTTCTGTAAAGCATGAGCTACAATCACATGCTCCTGCTCCTCCAACATCCCTTTTTGCATCGGTGAACTTTTTGTTTGCTGAATCACTGAACATTAGATAATAAAAAGTAAGTAGATCTTTTTATAAATCCCTTTTCTATATATATAATGATTATATGGCTTACAAAGTTTCAGAGATGACCAAGCTGACATGGCATCATTCTTTTCAGCTTGTTTCTTATTCTTGGTTGGTTCACCTGTAAACGTACAACCAGCTATTTCTACAGTGCATGTGAACACGGGCAAATTCCCCAGGCCTGACATGGCATCATTCTTTCCAGCTTGTTTCTTACTCTTTGTGAAACCTCTTGCAAAAGGTTCTTGTACACCCATGTCTCATCCTGTATCATGTACATTACAAGATCAGTGTCAAATACAATATTTAAGGGTTAGAAACTAGAATCAATTTTCATGATGTTTCTTGATTGTTTTCTACAGGGAATTATACAAAAATAGCATAAGCGACCCAATTCCAAATGATCTAGGAAATTTGACAAATTTAGTGAGCTTATATCTTTACCTTGATACTTTTTCAGGGCCAATTCATGTCACATTGTGTAAGTGTATGAAATTGGAATGTACTTTGCTATTTCTTGCAAAATAAGTTGCTATTTCATGCATTAGGCCTTTTTTGGTTAAAATGCAAGAAATGGTAGCATACTTAATTGATTTGATTTGAAAAAACATAATTTACTTTTTTTTAACTACATAACTCATTTTGTGTCCCCAAGTGTAGGATAATTGGAGAAAAATAGTCGACACTGGTTGAGTTGATGCATCTACAAGTGGATCACCCATCTTCTTTGGTAGCATATTCAACATTGCAGTTGAGCAATTTTCATTTAGTACCACCTTAGATATTCCCTCCATCTTCTTTCGGTTTGTTAGGAGATATTTTAGAAACTTTGCATACTTTAGCATTTAAGCCAAGGCTTCAAGGAACGGAATATTGATTTCAAGGGACTTGATGTGATCCAGGAACTTCTGGTAGTCTTCAGCATTCTTTTCTTGTCTTGCTCTACTGGGAAAGGGAAGCGGTGGGCAGTACGGCTTAATGGGTTCAACACTTTTCTTTTCAGGTACATGCCACGTCGTGGTGTTGTCACCACGTCGTGGGGACTGTTCAGAATCCTTTTGTTGACTTGCTTCTCGACCTTCCTGTCCATCATCCGGGTTGTTTCTATTAATGGGAGTCATATGGGTAACAATTTTCCCACTTCTAGTTGCAATGGCTTGTATGTGAGCTCCTTTCGTGTTTTCTTCGGTGTTTCCTGGAAGTGTTCCCGGTAATCTTTCATTGAATTGCTTGGATAATTGCCTAATTTTTTGCTCAATATTCTTGATTGCAGCTTGTTGATTTCTAGGTACCGCTTCAATATCTTCGTGTGTCTTTTCTAATGCAGCAGCAAAACAAGCAAGCATTGTCTCGAAATCGGGTTTCTTTTCGGGAGTTGGTTCCTCTCTTTGGTAAAATCCTCTTCCTTTTTGCTCATACTTCTCTTCTTTGGATTACTTGTACTCATCATAAGGTAACCACTCTTCTTGGGCTTTCTCCAGTCTTCGTCATAACGATCACCGCTCGAGTATCAAGCTTGAACCTTTCTGTTTCAATTCTGATCAAGATCGCAGTCTCTAGTTAAATGTGGCTTGTTACAGCTTTCACACCCGACTCGTATAGCATGGATTGTTTGATCCATTTTAGTCATCGTCCTATCCATGTTATGCAACATTGCTAAGACCGCCAACATGTCCTCCGAAGTAGAATTCACGTTTCCCCTAGTTTCATCATATCGAGGGTTATGGTATTCTTTTGAATGTTTAGAAAATTCCTCGATTAGCTCCTTGATTGCGGTTGGTGCTTTCTTTGTTAGTGGCCCTTAAGAATCAAGGAGTTGCCTAGTTGTGACGTTCACCCCATCATCGAAAATCGAGACTTCTTGTTGGATGTTTAGATCATTTTGAGGATAGTTTCTCAACAAACCCTTGTATCACTCCCACACCTCGTACAATGACTCTCCTGCTTGTTACTCAAAATTTGCTAGCCTTCTTCAACTTGGAAACTTTAGATGGTGGGCAAAATTGTTGTATAAACTCTTTGCGCATTTGTGACCAAGTTGTTATCATGCCTGGTGGGAGTGTATTCTACCACTCTTTTGTTGCACCCTTAACAGTAACAATGAGCATTCATAGCAAAACTGTCTCATGTAGGATATTTGGTATGTTGAAGTAGTTAGAGATGTCATTGACCTCATCAATGTGCTTGTAGGCGTCCTCATGGTCTTTCCCATAGAAGGGTATGTCTTTTAGTTGAGCAAGGATGTGGCCCTTCAATTCATAGCTAGCAGTGTTGGGGATTGCGGTTTGCACAAGTCCCGGTTCGTTGTCTTCACGCATCCGCCTCTTGTAGGCTTCCATCGTCATGGCCGCTATGTCCGCCATGTTGTTTATTGGTTCGCTTTCGGGTTCGCTTACTTTTTCGGATTCTTGTTCGCTTTCTAGCTCGTAACCTGACTCCTTTTTGTTAGGAGTCTTCTCAAACCTTTCGAATTCACTTTCTAGAGTTTGGTTGCTTGATTCTCTGAGTTTGGTTGTTTTCTTCTTATGGAATTCTGACTCAGGATCGTCAAACGGTGATATGATTGGTGTCTTTGATCCTCGGGTCATTTATCGTGAAACAAAAACAAATGAAAAGCGTAAAAATAACAAAAACAAAAACTAAAATTTAACTGTTACGACACGATGATGTAGTGTTAATGACCACGATGTGATGAGTCAAATAAAAGAAAATAAACTAAAACAAAATTTTAAAAGAAAATAAACAGAAAAATTCCTAAAAATAACAGATTCAAATTAACTAACAATGGACTGTTCCCCAGCAACGGCGCCAAAAACTTGATGCGTAAATAATTATGCACTAGTTAATCCTACTAATGTAATTAATTATTACCTAAGGCAGTGTACCTTGTTGAAAATAGTATAACCCAATAGACAGGTATCGAACACAGGGAACAGAATGATTAGCTAATTCTTATCTACTAACTAACTAAATTACTATTAAATTTAGAAAAAGGGGTTTTCTATAGTTTTGCAAGACTAGAAACTTAATTAACCAAACGAACTAAATATCAACTATTGAAACATATATTAAAACTAAAAGCAAGAAACACAAAAGACGATTTAAATCAAGGAACTTGAGAGACTTTCGTTTAGCTTTAATTTTCTTGCTATTATGTTTGATTTATGGAAGTGCAATGGATTATGCTTTGTTGGTTACCGATTCCTAAGATGAATAGGTTAATGTTCACTAATCCTAATCCTCTAGCAAACAAGTTCATTCATATGGTAATCTGGCGGATAAACTAACAAGTTTACTAGTGTTCAGTTCGAGTTAAATTAGACTTATAATGAGTTGATTAATTGCATTAATTAGATCAATTCAATATATGATTGGTCATCATATATTAGCTCCTACGATTACTTACCCACTTTTCTATTTAACCTAGGTTTTGGTCAAACTATAGTCCTACAATTTTGCAATTCACAAAGGTCATAAGATTCAAGTTTAATCAAGAGTGATGGTCATGCAAACTTAATAAACTCGGCAATAAATAGAAAAAGTAGTTCTCATAAGCACAGAAGGTTCTTCAATAAGTTAAAGTAACAAATAACCAACTAAACTTAACCCTAACCATAAATCAAGCCATAAAAAGTCAAGCAACCTACACTAAACAAAAGTCATAGGGTTTTAGCCCATGATTTCAACAATCAAACACAGAAAAATGAAATTCATTGTAATAAACATGATTAAACTAAGTAGAAAATCATAATAGAAGGTTGTATTGCCTTAATGCTCTCGATTCCAAGCTATGATCGACTTCTACAACTTCCAAGCTTCAAGGTGGATAGTTGGCCTTCAAAATCGATAGTAGCTTCCAGCAAAAGTTCTCTTTTCGAAGGAGAATGACTTATATTTATAGTTTCCCGAAAACACCACGACGTGGTAAGGTCACCACGTCGTGGCCTTCGTGTTTATCCTATATTTAACAAGTCTTCTAGATCCATCGAGACAATCCAAAATGCCACGTCATGGGAATGTCACTACAACATGGTGAGTGTATTCTTCTTCATTTTTTGTTTTGATCCAAATTCCTAGCTTCCAACTTCCTTTTCGCTTCGAACATGTTTTTTACCCCCTACAACAAAATATACAACAGATTAAGTACATTTTGTTCTATAAAGGGCATAAAAATGACTAGAAATATTAAGATATGATGTAAAATATATGTATAGATATGCTCATATCAATCACCACAGTTCGTCGAACTATGGTTCGACCCTTTCTAATATAACAGAACCACACCATAGCTCATCAAACTATGGTTCAACCCTTTCCTTTATAACAAACCCATAAAGTCTTAGCAACCTATGGTTTGTCAAAATGCGATCAGACTTTTTCCTTTATGGTTCTAATAAATTGCAACTTTAATCATCATAGCAAAATAAAAAAAATAGAGCAAACAAAGTTATATATTACTTCAAACGATTCTATGTTTAACAAGGAAGGAAATACAAGTGATAATCGTCATTACATTTGCCAAGACGCAATAAACAACAAAAGAGGATTCAAAGATACTAAGCTATAAGCTAAGTACTAGAACTTGCGCCATCTCGCTTCAAAAAGGGGTCCAAACTTGCCATCTCTTTCTTCAACGTGCCAACGTCAACTTTCTCTCCTTTCAAAAGATCGAACAATGAATACTTGTGAGTAATCATATATGAAAAACGATCAAGGATGTGACGTTGAGCATCACAGTAGGAATAGAGAATGTTTTTGTCGTCTAATGTTTTAGCGTAATTCTCTTTCATCTCTAGACATGCTTGATGAAGCCCTAGCTGGATGGCAACAGTCTAGAGGGTAGCATTAACATCACCAAAGTCAACAGAATTCATGACCGCTCGGACAAATGAAGGGATGCCCTCCTTCATCGCCCATTAAATATCAGAAGCATTTTGATTAGACAATGCCTGTTTTTGGTGCTCTTTCTCTTCAAATGAAGAACGAAACTCATTCAAAGATGCAAGTTAAGCATCCTTCTCAGCAATCACAACCTTAAAATTAGATAGCTCATCTTCAAGTAATTTGATACAAACATCTTTACCCGACCAAGAAATCTCCAACTGTGAAATTTTTTAGGTATACTAAAGTTTCAAAGAATCAAATTGCTGAGATTTTTCCTCAAGTTCCTTAATTAAATTCGAGCGTTGAATAATTACATCATCTGCTTGGAGCTGAAGATCTTGGTTCGAGTTTGATAACTCCTCTTGATGACCAAGGCTTTCGCTCAAATCCTTCACCAATTCCTGATTTCTTTCAGATAATCCCGACACCTCTATCTGTAACCTTTGAGCTTCTCCTTCTAGTTGATCATGAATTTCTTGCAACCTTTTCATAGCTTGGAAACATTCCTCAAAATTTAATTGTTTAGAAGCGAGAATTTGTATACAAGTTTGGGTACGGGCAGAAACTTCGTTAAGCAAGTGCATCCCTTCCATCAAGCACGAACGAGCCTTGTCAAGACTCTCTTCGTCTGATGCGGTTGCAATTTCAGGACTCGCAGGTGTGGAGGTCTTAGTAAAAGGATGTTGGAAATTAGGAAGTGGCGCAGAAAGAGATACAAGAGTAGAAATAGAAAGATCCTTTTGGGAAGATGACAGCACTGAAACACATACAACAAATGTCATCATATAAAAAAAATGCAGAACAAGATAAGAACAAAATAAGAAAATAGTAAAAGAAATATGCCAAGTTGTTGTCAAGTATTAGGTGAAATCGTAGCAACAACTTCCAGTGAAGTGTCATTCCTAGAATCAAGGTTCAGATCAGACGTTTCCACAGAAATCAAGTCGATACCTGAAAGGGGACCCGAACCAACCATGGGAGGATTCACAATGATGACTGTTGATTCTGCACCAGACGTGTGAAAAAAATTAACTCTAGCACCAAAACTTTATGTTGAAAGATAGTTGCAGCAGTCGGAATCGGCAAGTGTAACATCCCCATTTTCACGGCCAGAAAAGACCGATTTGTTTATGCTTTGTTTTAAAATCAGAGTAATCGTTTAAAGAAAACTATTGCGGAATTTGTTCCCAAAACAAAATATGATAAGAATTTATCAAATCATTCCTTAAAGAAATATATTTTCCATTTCATTATAAAACATCGGGATGCCATGTTCTGATACAGACCAAAAGCATAAACAGTACCATATAGGCCTTACAACATTTATTTATATCTAATGGCCTATAATCCAAAATCCCTCGTCATCGTCCAACTATGCTCTTTTTCCACTACCTGTAATACAGAAAAACTGAGTGGGTCAGGCTTGGGAGTCTGGTGAGCATATAGGGTTTTCAACCCACAATAATATAATTATTATATTTAATCATTAAACAATCAACCCAACTACCCATCCCCATTATCTCCTTTTATTCTTAAGGATCTACCCTAAGAATTAGCTATTCCTCGTTCATTCATCCCTAAGTATCATCCTAAGGAATCGGAATGAAATCCATCGTTGTCAGGGTTTACTCGACATGCACTAAGTCGCAGAGTCGCCAGGGTTTAGGCACTAAGTCTGCATAGTCACCAGGGTTTAGGCACCAAGTCTGCATGGTCTCCAGGGTTTATTTATAAGGCACTAAGTCTGCATAGTCACCAGGGTTTAGGCACCAAGTCTGCATGGTCGCCAGGGTTTATTTATAAGGCACTAAGTCTGCATAGTCACCAGGGTTTAGGCACCAAGTCTGCATGGTCGCCAGGGTTTATTTATAAGGCACTAAGTCTGCATAGTCACCAGGGTTTAGGCACCAAGTCTGCATGGTCGCCAGGGTTTATTTATAAGGCACTAAGTCTGCATAGTCACCAGGGTTTAGGCACCAAGTATGCATGGTCGTCAGGGTTTATTTATAAGGCACTAAGTCTGCATAGTCACCAGGGTTTAGGCACCAAGTCTCATCCTCAAACTCATCTTTCCTCACACACCAACTATTTAATCTACCCATGTTCTACCCAACATATTTGTAGATATAAATTACATATATAGTTTAAATCATTTAAAAACCTGTATAAAACATTCATTCAACATCCATCTCAAGTAAGCAAACAACGTATAAACACATAGCACGTATTTCATAGCAAATACTTCATATCTATGCGGTAGAAGAAAGTAACTACACACTCACTTGATAAGACGATTATCGGATAGCACTACGGCTCTTCAAGTAGTATTCTTTGATGAAACCGAGATATCTTCACAAACCGGGCTTCTCGAGGGCAGAGCTTCGGCTTGAAACTTTTTTCTCCTCGGGATCTTCGGGGCTTTGGGACTCGCTTCGGGTGTCGGGATGATACCGGGGCTTCGGGAGTACTTTTAAGAGGGCTAGAGAGGGTATAGGAAGAGAGGGAGTAAGAAAATAGCAACCAAAATCGGCTGCCCTTCGATTTCTATTTATAGGGCTGAAATACTGAATTCACGTCGTGAATCTCAACATTCACGTCGTGAGTTCAGTAGTCATCAGGTGCGTCATCGCAACTTGCGTCTGGCAGGCTCCAGAAGTCATAAATACTGAGTTCACGTCGTGAACATTGTATTCACGTCGTGAACTCTGACACAGTGTCAGGGTTCGCGCCCCGAACTTCAGAAATTCATATCTTCCGCATACGAGCTCCGTTTTCGACGTTCTTTATATGCACGCGTAGGTGAGATTATACTCTACAACTCTTGTTTAGACTCCGTCGGCTAATTTTGAATTTAACTTTTATTATATATTATTTTTACTAGGTCGGGACAGGAAAACTCCGTTAGGAATTCACAACTCCTTAATCTGACGTCCGTTTCCGTCTGTCTTTTTACCATTGGACTACTATCGACGAGATCTTCGATTCTCGTTTAGATTGTTTCGGCTAGAAACCACTCGATCTCATATTCGAACTTTGGGCTGCATACCGCTAAGTCGAAACTTCGAAAAATCATAACTTCCTCATACGAAGTCAGATTTTGACGCTCTTTTTATGCACGCTCTCTGTTTAACGTATTCTACGACTTTCGTTTAGATCACTAAGGCTAAATATCGCTCTATCGTAAATTCACTATTTACGTCACGCAGTGTCGTACCGGTTAATAAATTAATTTGAATTGATAGTAGCAATGTCCTTTTGGGTTGCCTTCAAACCTGGCAATTGAATAGGATAACTGTTAGAGAGAGAATAATAATTTATTAATTTATTACTTGGTTAATAAATTAATTTGAGATCAAGATAAATTATTTATTAAAGTATTATGGATATAATATATTAATTAGAAATCATACTCTTTAATTGATATTTCATCAGAAAATAATTTGGAATTAATTTTAGGATTAAAGGAATTAATTGAAACTGCAGGGACTAAAGGTGACAATGTTCAATAGTTGAGCATTGAGCATTCTAGAACCTCCCTAAGGGGGGGGGGGGTAAATTCTAGGGTTTCCTTGGGCCATAAGGGTGCCTTGGATGCCTTAGTGAGAAAGTTAAGGGATTAAGGTTATCTTGGATACACCTGCCTAATCCAATACCTTCCTAGCACCTATATAAAACCCTCTTAGGGTTAAATTTTGGCCTAGACACTCCAAAAAGAACCTAAGGGCCGAAATTCTACTCTAATTATCTCTCTCTAAAGTATTTCATGGTTGTTAGGTTTGTTTGTGAGCCATTAGAGGCACGACACTTGTGGCGTTCGCTACCAAAGTTCAAGATCTTCAAGGATTTAATTTTTATTACAAATAACAATCAAGGTATGTATCCTAACCCTAATTATATGTTAATTTCGAAAATTACATGTGCCTCCTAGGGTTTCTAGTTCATGTGTTCAATGCTTGTATATCTAATAGTGAAAACATAAATCCTAAAATCTAGGGTTGCATGCACACATAGGATTGTTTGCTATGTATAAATCTCATCAGTGGTATCAGAGCGTATGGTTTTTGTTTTCAATTAGATTTGGTACAACTGATTGAATCAGACAAAATTAGGGTTTATGGCTATTAAACCCTAAGGCCTTTAAATTTTCGCAAATTAGGGTTTAAGAACCCTGTTTTTCGAAAATCCCTAAGGGTTTTCAAACCCTTTTCTTTTGGCCACCTTGGAGTCGAAATCTACGGTTTCCTAACCCTAGTTTTTTTGTTTTTTAGGCAAGGTTGAAATCTTTGCCTTCCCTTCCAAGCAGAAGATTTTGAAATCTAAGGAATAAGTTAGTAGGTTGTTATTTTTGGTAATTATCTTGTTAATTGTTTAATTGGATAATTAAAGATATCCCTACCCTAAATTTCGAAATCCATGGATAAAGGATTAAATTAAGTTAATATGTTTGATTTAAATTGGTAATCCATATTTGATTCAATAATTTAATTAATTGTTTAATTTTTGGATAATTATTAAATCAAAGGTTTTTTAAATTTTAAAATTTTAAATTAAATGGTTTTAATTTTCGAAAATTTTAATAAAATTAAAAAACCCTAGTATTCTAAAAGTTTAAAATACACACTTATACTATATAAAATTAAAAGTTTAATTTTATATATATGTATAAGAAAATGTCAGTCTTACCGTTAGTAGGCCTCATTCACGAAGCTGGTCTATAAGGAGAGTTTAAGGAAGCGGCCTATAAAATGACCGTCATTGGGTATCCACTCTTACCCACCGCTCTCTTGACTAGTGGAGGGTCGTTAGCCAAACGGGTTTGATAGGACTCTAAACTCTGATTAAAAGTATAATAAATTATAAAGTAACTAAACCATTTTCTAAAATCTCATTCTTAGTTACTTTAGGAAAAATGTGAATTTGATGCTAACCCATGAAATTGCACATTGCATCTTATTGGTCGTTAGTGGAGTGTGTGTGGTTAACCGGAACACTAATATGGGACTAATATTGTAGGCAATGGGTTTCTCGTAAATTATCGTTGATTAATGGAGCGTGTGTGGTTGACCGGTACATTCATTAGGTGATAAATGACATTGAGAGTACCAAGCTAATTTGCATGGTTATTAACATATCGTTTGTGATACTCGGCATCCCAGTCACGTGAGTTATCATAAGAGCAGAGACCTCATTTCCATACTCGATACCCATCATAGACACTAAGAGCCATTGCTCCGATATACTCCTCTTGACCGTCCGTTGCTGCAGCTAACACATGCCCTACTATGCTCAAATAGGGTGTATCCTGGTCCTTAACCATCTCAGTCCCCGCTGACAACCTGCTCTTGCTCTAACATTACCTCTCGGCAGACATACTGCCCAAATACTCTGATGGAAGGTCGCCATCAATGCTAACCCGCAGGGTTCTACCCCCAAGCTCGGAAACCGAATTCTCAACACCTCTTATGTTTCCCACAGGAAACGGAAATAATACCATCCATGCCACAGAAGGTGACATCTCCACTATCGGCTGATTGCTCAACTCATGCTGTAATCCTCCATAACTGCCATCTCTACTCATTCTTGAGTCTTGCGACTCCAATTGGCATCTCACCAAAAATCCCTCGGAGCTAACTCGATTTCCCTCTCAAGTGATGCTCCACTAAAACTCGTTCATCATGGCCCTCTGGCCCCATACTCTTTCACATCTGATCTCAGTCTAACCAATTTCAACGGAATAACTGGTAGAACCAGTAACACTAACCGCCACGGGTCATGGTACTCGAACCATGTGGCCACCTCTCGATCTGCTATGAATCATGGTACCCGAATCATGTTATCTCTTCTCAATCCGCTACGAGTCATGGTACTCGACCCATGACATCACCTCTCGATCTGCTACAAATCATGGCACTCGAACCATGAAATCACCTCTCGATCTGCTACAAATCATGGTACTCGAACCATGAAATCACCTCT